CCTCCTTTCTCCCTGCGGTCCTGGCTGTCACCCCCAGGCGAAAAAGGGGATGTTTGGCTGTGGGGTGGGTCCCTGGCATGGGGGGGGGAGCCTCCAGCCTGCAGCCACGCTGCCTGCCGTGCGGGGGGCTGACAGCTTATCTGGCCACCGTGTGATGGGTGCGTGGTTTCCTGCCAACAACTTCTGTTTCCGGAGGCCCAGCAGGGCGCAGGCAGCTGGGGGCGGGGCCGCAGGGGCCGCCGGGCTGGTGACCCTGCCAGCTCCGCCCCCGTCCATCTTTGGGAATTTATTTGTCCACAGGCTCGGCTGTCCCTCAGTCCATTGCCTGCCAGGGACCCAAAGCTGCTCTGGGCACCCCAGGTCCTCCCTCCCCACCCAGGCGCCTGCAGCTGACCTCTGACTCCTGACCTCTGGCCCCACCTGCCCGCCCTGAGCTGCCCTGGGTCAGGGGACCTGGTGGTCACGCACCCAGAGGGCGAAGGCCACGCGGGCTCGGCTCTCGCCCCGCCGGGCCCAGCATGGCGCGGCGGCTGCAGGATGAGCTGGCCGCCTTCTTCTTCGAGTACGACACCCCCCGCATGGTGCTCGTGCGCAACAAGAAGGTGGGCATCATCTTCCGGCTGATCCAGCTCGTGGTTCTGGTCTACGTGATCGGGTGAGTCGGGGCCCCTCCCTGCTGCCCTCTGATGCCAGGCCTGCCCTCTCGGCTCCGGGATGTCCCCCGGGACCCCAAGGAGCCCCTCTTTCTTGCCACTGGTTGTCGTCCTTCCGGACAAACCCTGGGGCTGGTGAGAAAGAGTGGGAGCCAGTAGCCCCCTGGCGAGATGGAGACTCCGAGGCACAGAGGGGAGCCCCGTCCTGGGTCACCTGGGCAACCAGGGCAAACCCGCCGGGTTCTGTGGGACAGACTCACCAGGACCGGCTCCCTGAAGCGGTGAGTGGCTTCGGGGGTCAGGGCCCATGAGCTGCAGCCAGGGTCCCTCTACCTCTGACCCCACAGCCGAGCCAGGCCATCCTGAGGCAGAGCCCCTCCCCACCTGACAGGCCCAGCTCCCACGCCCTGCATAATGAGAGGCACCATGGGGTATTTGAGAACAGCTGGGCCTTCATGGGGGCATATCAGGCAAAGGTTGGAGGTCATCCTGGCCCCAGGGATGACAGCTCCTCTCTGGGCCTCCTGGGCCTGTCCCATCGTCCCAGGAGTTCAGGGATGGAAGCCAGGGGAGCCTCCCCTGCAGCCTGATGTTCCAGGGACCGTGCATGGCCGTCTTCCCGAAATCAGTCTGGCTGCCCTGGGAGCCAAGGCCGGCCTGGCAGGGGCTTGCACACGCATGTGCTTGTATGAACACACATGTGTCTGGTGTGTGGATGCATGTGTTGTACCCAGAGCTCTGTGTGGGTACGTGTGCCCTCATGTGTCAGTGTGTGCCCAATGGGTGTGGCTGCTGGGTGTGCCCCTGGGGCTGGGTGCCCACCTGTGCATGCCCTGTGGCTGAGGTGGGTGGGTGCCTGGTGCATGTGCCCCTGATTGCAGGGGGGGAGGGGCGCGCATCATGTCCACTCACAGCAGAGGGCTCCTAGGGGAGCTCAGCCCCTGCTGGGGAGTCTGGGGGCACCTGGCAGCCTCGGCCTGACTGCTATGTGATCCCGAGGGCCCTGCCCCTCTGGTCTCCATGTCCCCATTTTTGCTGTGGGACCAAACCAGGACTGCTGCCTGGAGCCCAGGAAGCTTAAGAGTCCTGTTCCCCCAGGGCCTCTGGCATCCAACAGCCTTCCCTCTGCCCACCTGGACACCAAGGCCTGAGAGCGGTCAAGGGCAGCCAGGGCTGGTGAAGGACCCCTTCCGGCTCCTCTCTCCTGTTCACAAACCAGTTTGACATCTGCAGTGTCCTTTGAGCTTGTGAGGGAAATCAAGGCTCAGAGAGGAGCAGTGGGGTTTCTGGTGACAGGAAAGTCCCTGTTAGGGCTGAGGCCTCCTGACCCCGGGGCCCGGCTCTGCCTCTCCGTTCCCACCTCACAAGGGCCTCTTTCTAACACAAGATGGGCCTGAACATCCACCCTCCAGGGAGGAAAGAGGTTGCTTGCCCACCCCTCACCCGGAGGCGGGAGAACGCTGTCCTCCGTGGCCCTGTGGCTCCCTCTCTGCTCTAGGGCAGCACTGGGAGCAGCGCCAGGGCCCTCTGGTTGCGACTGTCCAGGGAAAGGGACAGTCCTCCCACCCCTCCACTCCCCACACCCCATCCCTGGTGCAGCATATGCCTCAAGCCACCGTTCAGTCCTGAACACAGACCTCCAGTGACGGGGACCTCACTACCTCCCTCCCCCGCTTCCACCCTCCTAAGACAGTCCACTCAGTTTCCAAATAGATGTGGCCTCCTCAGCCTCAGTGAGGCTCAGAGGCACTGAGGGATTTAACCTGGACCTCACAGCTAGAACGTGGCCGAACCAGGACATGAATCCGGCTGTGTGGCTCCAAAGTCGGCCTTGATGTCCTGGAAGGGAAACCCACTCAGGGACGGGGACTGACCACCCCAGTCACAGCGCAGAGCCGGAAGGCAGGGTCCCTCCAGCACCCCTCAGCCCCACCCTCAAGTCTAGAAGTCAGCCTCCACCCCTGCTTGGGCTGGGACTCCTGCTGTCTCTGGCGCCCTCGTCTGGCCACTGCCCACAGCTGCAGACGGAAACCAGCCTGGATTTGGTTTTACTCTCAGTCTTCAATTTCCCAACTGTCCCAGGGAGCTTGGGTGGGGAAAACCCTTCTAAAGGCATGCACAGAAGTTCAACCATTTCTCTCTCCTGAGAAAGAATGGCCTTTCTTCAGTTACACACACACACACACACACACACACACACACACACACACACCTCTTTCCAAGGCCCCTGTCCGTCAGTGTCTGGTCCTGAGGGTGTTGCAGGAGAAATGCCAGGCTCCCGGACACCAGCGACAGGGGCACAGTCCAGGTGGGGGATGGGCAGCCACAGAGACAGACCTGGACAGAGGGACATTGGGGGACAACCACTCAGATGAAGAGAGAGGCTCTGAGACTTAGAAACGGAGAGAGTTACTGAGACAGGCAGGGAGGCCGAGGTGCTGAGAAGCTGACCGGGTTCCGAGGAGGGGGGCTGAGGATGTGTTCTCATCCGGCGCACTGTTCCGGGAAGCCCAAGGCAGGAGGAGGGAGCAGGTGGGCCTGAGGCCCTGATAGGCTGTGCAAAGACTTTTTTTTGGCTCAAATTATGGTGGTTAATTCGTAGTGGCATTTCTCCTGGGCAGCAATGAGCTCTCCATAACTGGTGGTGTGCAGGCAGTGGGGCTGCCGTCCACGATCTAGCAGGCCCATAAAAGGGTGTGCTGAGATATGTCCCTGCCTGGGGTGTTCTGGTCAAGGGGGGAGAAAGATCTTTCTGGGGCACACAGGAGAGTCCAAGGGGACTTGTGAATGCTGCTTGGGGAAGGGAGCCTGGAAGGCTTCCTGGAGGAGGTGACACAGTGGTGGAACCAACCTTGAACTTTTCCTCAGGCCCCCCTGGGCCTCTTCTCACCTCAGTCCTCACCCTGTCCCTGCGCACCCACATACAGCTCTTGAATCATGTGCTCCTGAGACCTCCAAATGGATCCTGGAGCACACCAACCAGGGATGAGAGCAGATACAAATGAATGCTGGGAGAAATGTATCTGAAGACATTTCTTTTTTGTTGTTAATCCTCACCCAAGGATATTTTTTCTATTGATTTTTAGAGAGAGTGGAAGGGAAGGAGGGGGGAGAAAGAGAGAAAGGAGTGAGAGAGACACATCGATTGGTTGCCTCCTACACAGGGCCTGATCCAGGCTGGAATCGGGTCTGCAACCCAGGTACATGCCCTTGACCAGGAATCAAACCTGGACCCTTCGGTCCGAGGGCCAACGCTCTAACCACTGAGCAACCAGCCAGGGCTGAAGACATTTCTGCAGCATCTTTTCCATGCCTGGTGCTGTGTTGGGCTTCATGGGACAGAGGTGGGGACAGGGTCGGCAGAGGGGAGAACAAGGAGATGAGGATGAATTAGCCGGAACTCCTTTGGTTCCTAGACACAGAAACTGATCAAACTGTATTTATGTAACTGAAACACCGATGCAGCCTTCAGGCCTGCCTGGATCCTCCATGGAGGCCACAGGAGGAGAAAGCTCTACATCTCTCATCCAGGAGACGAGGAGTTCAGGCTGGTCCCGTCTGGGCTCTCCAGTGAAGCTAGCCAGGACCTAGCTCCCTCTGCCCCGGCTCTGCTCTCCCCGGCCTCAGGCAGGCTCTCTGTCCCCGAGTGGCAAAATGGCCCCCAGCAACTCTGAGCTGACATCCCACCAGCTGAGCCTCCCCTGGGGCACAAGAACATCTCCTTTCCAGGAGTTCCAGCAGAAGTCCTGGGTCCATCGCTTCCTGGCCTAGGCTGGGTCATGAACCCAGCTCAGAACCAATCACTGTGGCCAAGGAGTGAATGCCCTGATTGGTGGAGCCCGGCTGATTGGCCACCTTGTCCAAGCAGGGCTGTGGGGAAGCAGCGTGTGATCAAAGGCCCTGGGCCAGCAGGAAAGGAGCAAGGCAGCCCTGGCCAGTGTTGCTCAGTAGCTAGAGTGTCAGCCCAAGGATCGAAGGGTCTGGGGTTTGATTCCCACAGTTGCAGGTTCGATCTCTGGCCCCAGTTGGGGTGTGATCAGGAGGCAGGAGGAAACCAATTGATGTTTCCCTCATCTCTCTCTCTCTCTCTCTCTCTCTCTCTCTCTCTCTCTCTTTCTCTCTCTCTCCCCTCCCTTCTCCTACCTCCCTTTCATTCTCTCTAAAAAATTAATGGCAAAAATGTTCAGGTGAGGATTAAAAAATAATAATAATAAATAAAGGAACCAAGGGAGAGGAACTGGAGGAATGAGCGGGGCCACTGGCTCAGGCCTCTGAACCTGGGGCTGAGCAGCGTGGGCTTCCTCCTGCAGGCAGCTGTCTCTGAGGGGTGTCTAGCAGGGGAAAGCCTGGGGCAGGCAGGTGCTGGGGTGGGGGTGGAGGCCAGAGGCAGGACAGCCATGAAGAGGCAGAAGCCGTGAGTATGGACGACAGAGGTCATCACTCTGGCGGACCCCACACCAGGGTGGCCACACTCAGCTCCTGCCCCTCACTGCTCAGCTCCTGCCCCTCACTGCCCAGCTTCTGCCCCTCACTGCCCAGCTCCTGCCCCTCACTGCTCAGCTTCTGCTCTTCATTGCTCAGCTCCTGCCCCTCACTGCTCAGCTCCTGCCCCTTACTGCTCAGCTTCTGCCCCTCACTGCTCAGCTTCTGCCCCTCACTGCTCAGCTTCTGCCCTCACTGCCCAGCTCCTGCCCCTCACTGCTCAGCTTCTGCCCCTCACTGCTCAGCTCCTGCCCCTCACTGTCCAGCTCCTGCCCCTCACTGCTCAGCTCCTGCCCCTCACTGCTCAGCTTCTGCCCCTCACTGCCCAGCTTCTGCCCCTCACTGCTCAGCTCCTGCCCCTCACTGCTCAGCTTCTGCCCCTCACTGCTCAGCTCCTGCCCCTCACTGCTGCAGGGGGACATGTGCCCAGCACGGCCAGAGTTTCCGACTTCTTAGGAGCAGTGGGAAACTGGAACTTACGGGTGAAAGGAACCTCTTTATTTGCCGAGGTTGGAAACTCATTCAAACATTTAAAAACAAATCATCAGCGTGACTTGTCTGTAGACTGCATGCTGACCAGCCTCTGAGCCCCAGCGTGGGCCCCAGCTCTGAACTCAGCCCCTTCCTGGCTCCGAGTCTGGCTTGTCCCTCCCCGAGTCTGCTCTGCCCCGTAGCTCGTGTGAGGCCTGGTCAGCTCCTGCCTGTGCCCGGGTGACCCCCTGCCCGCCCTGCCCCAAGCCAGAGCTGCCCCAGCACCCGCCCAGCTCCTCCCGGCTCCCACAACAAACCCCTCTGGCCCTTAGAGGAAAGCCGAGGGCGGCCAGGAGAGACCAGACAATGGGCATGAAGGACAGGAAGGGCGGGAGGATGACGCCCGGGTTTTGGGCCCGGGGACGGGGCACCAGAGGAGCAAGTTCTGGGGACACACGAGGCATTCTAGTGGGTCCTGTTGGGTTTTTACTTTGAGATATAATTCACATGCGATCACATTCACCATTTTAAAATATACCGTTTGGTGGGTTTTAGCATAATCACAAATTTGTGCAACCATCACCACTATCCAATTCCAGACATTTTCACTATTCAAAAATAACAAACAAACAGAAACCCCACCCTGTGCCCCTGAGCAATCCTTGCCCATCCCGGACATTTCACAGAAGTCAAGTCACACAACGTGTGGTCTTGTGTGCTGGCTGTGGTCTTGTGTGCTGGCTTTTGTCACCTCGTCCAGGTCGTAGGTGTATCGGTGCTTCCTTCCCTTCTGTGGCTGAATAACATTCCACGGTGTGGATCCCCCACGTGTTGTTTATCCACTCGTTGGTTCAAGGACATCTGGGCTGTTTCCGCTTTGGTTCCTCATGAAGAATGTGGCTGTGAACATTCGTGGGCATGTTTTCGCATGGACGTACGTTGTCAGGATACCTATAAATGGAATCGCTGGGTCAAATGGAAATTCCCTGTCTGCCTTTTGGAGGAAGAGCTGGCTTTTCCAAAGGGTCGGCTTAGGTTGGAGGAGCCTGTGGGGTGTCGGGGTGGGGCCGGGGCAGAGGGGAGGGATGTGTGTCACCAAGCGGTGAGTGCAGACTTTTGGGTTGTTTTGTTCACTTCTGTATTTTTAGCGTCTAGGAAAGTGCTTGGCACATAGTAGGGCAGGGGTGGGGCACCTTTTTCCTGCTGAGGGCCGTTTGGATATTTATATCATTCGCGGGCCATACAAAATTATCAACTTAAAAGTTAGCCTGCTACCATTGGTCAAACATTTAATTAGCTCACCCCTAGTGCCTTGGCAGGGCCGGACCAAATGATTTCGCGGGCCTTATACAGCCCGAGGGCCCGACGTCCCCCCTGTCATAGGGGTTGATAAATAAATATTTGTTGAATGACAAATGAATGCGTGGGATTGAGTTTTGGGAGAGAGTAAAGAAGTGGAGGTAGGAACCCTGGCGCACAGTGGGTCTGTGATAGCTCGCACGGGATTCTGCCTGGACTGGGGATGGAGGCCAGGCCGATGGGGGCAGATGGACATTGAAAGAATTAGTGAAGGAAGAGTAGGGACAGTGAAAACAGGAGACTGACTTACTGTGTGCCTACGCATGCTCATTCATTTAATGGGAACTCATGGGGATCCCCAGTCACCTCCCCTCTTTTTCTTCCAGGGGCCAGCCCACTGCTCATGCGCGGCCGGGCCCTGCTTGTATTTGTGGAATGAACAATCCTTGTGGGAGGTGTCACCACCTCCGTTTTACTGAGAAAGCCAGGGCTCAGAGAGGTTTAGTCTCCAGCCAGAAGCCACACAGCGGTGAGTGGCAGTGCTGGTGCCCGAACCTTGGCCTCTAGGCCGTTCCAACATGTGGCCTCTTCCATGAGAGGCCGCTGGAGAAGAGAGAGAGGGTTTTGCTGAGAATGAGGTGGGTAGAAAGGGAAAGAGAATTTCTGGAAGGGGAGGCACTTCAATAACGGCCGGTGTTTGGGGCATTAGGTGCCCATGGTGGCTTCCCAGAGTGGTGACAGCAAGGCTGGGTCAGGCTTTGGAGGAGAGGGCCTGGCACCGTGGCCATTCTTTCACTAACCAGAACTGAGGCCAGAGATGCCAGATTGTATCTTTCCCATTGACCCCCAGGCCTGACAGCCCCCAGGGCACAAAGTCAAGAGTGGCTGCACGGCCCCAGCGTGCAGCCTCCTGGGTCTCTGCTTCCTCCCCCAACCCCCGCGCCTCTGGCTCCTGGCCACACCTGATGCCCAGTGGAGGGGCAGAGTCCCGGGCTGCGGCCCTGAGCCTGGGTCTCCCTCTGACCCAGGAGAGATGCTCCCCAGGCCTCCATTTTCTCATCTATATTGTGAGGAGTCGGTGTGGGGCAACGAGAGAAATGCTGCTGGACACTGGGGTCCGGGGTGCCCAGAGAGAGGCCAGTGACCTCCTCTGCAGCTTGGGCACGAAGCCAGAGGCCGTCCTGGAGGAAGCAACCTAAGGAGGGCGGGGCATCGGTGATGCCCACTCTCCCTGCGTCAGCTGGAGGCAGTGAGACAGGTTCAGGACCCAGAATTGGGGGCCTTTGTCATGTCTTACCTGTTGCCTCCTGGGACCTGCAGGGGGCAGCAGTGACCCAGCTTAGGCATAGGGTTGGGGTGGGGTGAGGGCTTGGCTCCAGTGCCCCGCAGGGCGAGGGGCTTGCAGAAAGAGGAATGGACTATGGGAGGTGAGAGGAGGACATTGGTGGGCTGCCTTCCTGGGCCTGGATCAGGGAGCCAGCTCCTGGAGAGCTAGCAGTGATTCTGGGGCTAAGAGGCCTGGAGAATTCCGTTACTGGGCACAGGAGAGGGGGAGAATTCCGTTACCGGGCACGGGAGAGGGGGAGAATTCCGTTACCGGGCACGGGAGAGGGAGAATTCCGTTACCGGGCACGGGAGAGGGGGAGAATTCCGTTACCGGGCACGGGAGAGGGGGAGAATTCTGTTACCGGGCACGGGAGAGGGGCTTTGAGCTCTGCTTGGACAGGTAGACTGAGGGTAGAGTGAGGGGTGAAGGGGGCACAAATACACCTGCCCCGTCAGACCTGCCCATAGGTGCGCTCACAGATTTGCCCTGGGGATACGAAGCCACAAACTCTGGACACACACACACAGTTACAGGGATCTGAGGAAGAGAACCACACTCTGGATAGAAGTGTTTCCAGGACTGTCGGTCGTAAGCAACAGAAACCAAAACCAAACTGGCTTACATAAAGGAAGGGGATTTATTAGCTCATGAAAAGTCCAGAAGTAGATTTCTCATGCTTTAGGTCTGGCTGGGTCCAGGTGCTAAAACAACTTGGTAGGAGTCTGCCACCCTCCATTTCCTGGCCTGGCTTTCTCTAAGTTGGCTTCATTCTCACGCTTGCTCTGTGAGGAGCAAAGATAACTTGCCATCGTTTTGATCTCGGAGCCACCTTGCTTAGCCACCCAGCAGAGAGGATGTCTTTCCCCAATAATTCCAAGAAGAATCCTGGCCTCCCTGCTGGAACTCCCAGGTCAGGTGCTCATCCTTAGACCCATCACTGTTGCTACGGTGATGGAACATTGATTGGCAAGCCTTGCTCATGTGCCTACCCCTGGGGCTAAGAGGAGGGGGGGCGTGGAACCTTCCAGATTGAAAGTGGAGAATGCATAGGAATAGGGGTTCTCGATGCTGGGAAGAGAAGGCCAGGATTCCCCAGGAGAGCTGGGAGGCCTCCCGCCTGAGCCACTCCCACAAGGGCCGTGACCGGGGGCCAGAGGCTGCCAGGCGTGCGGGGTCATGCTCTGCTGTTTTTCTGTGGGAGGCCCTCAGGGAGGAAGGAGTCCTCTCACGAGGACTGGGGTTCAAGATGCTTGGCCTTCAGGCACCAGCAAATTCTGCTCTTGGAAAAGGACCTGGCAGAGTCCTTCAGTGGGTCTCCTACCCGGGAATTAGTTATTTTCGGCACGAAAAGGATGGTGGAACTTCAGGCACTGGCCAGCGGGGGGAGGTAGTGGTTCTCCTGCCTGCAGCCCGAAGTGTAGCTTTAGGAGCAGAGAGTAGCTCAGAAATGCGTCTTTTTCTTCTTCTTCTTCTTTTTTTTAAATATATTTTATTGATTTCTTACAGAGAGGAAGGGAGAGAGACAGAGAGTTAGAAACATTGATGAGAGAGAACCATCGATCAGCTGCCTCCTGCACATCCCCCACGGGGGGTGTGCCCGCAACCCAGGTACATGCCCCTGACCGGAATCGAACCCGGGACCCTTCAGTCTGCAGGCCGACGCTCTATCCACTGAGCCAAACCGGTTTCGGCCTTCTTCTTTAAAAAAAAAAAAAAATATATATATATATATA